TACCTCATTCAGAAATTGAAATAACCAGACATCAAGACTATATTCCTTCGTGCCTTACACACTACATACAGTACACACGGAAACCCAATGAGTATTTGTGAGTTAACTTCAGTGCATATCATTATTGTTATATCACGGGTGGTTGCACACACAAGGCTGTTAACACACCCCACTGGGAACATGACATGTAGTCGCTCTCAATCAGCACCCACAATTTATGCAGAATGAGCCAAGAAGATTATATTCTCTGACTATCAAGATGAAGGACTTCCCAGCATGGGAGGCCCTTCCTGGTGCTGTCTTATTTCTGACCCTCTCCAATAGTTCTCAAATTCCAGCTCTCTCCGTCACTGTTTACAATTCCCCAAGTATGCCAGACACTTAGAGTCCAAGCCTTTGCATATGCTTTTCGCACTGTCTGAAATGACCTTTCTTTCCTCGGCCTCCCTGTTGTGCTTCTCCTTAGAGATTAGCTCAAACATCACCTTCTTGGAAAGACCTTTGCTGATCTCTCTCTTAAGCCTGATATTCTTCTCTCTTAAGGTTGCTCTGCCTTCCACCCCTATTTGTTTCCCAAAGCACCCTATTTATTTGCATCTCTGTCTCCTTCACTGGGTTGGAAGCTCCCTGAGGACAAAACCCTGTACTGATTCCTCTGTGCTCTCCACTCCGCCACTGGACTGGACCATAGTAGGGCTTTTTGTTTTGAATGAATGCCATGTAGTATAGCAACTCTAATCCTTTATTGTGTTTCTATGATCCTGTGTCTATTTCCCCACTCTGGTAAGAGAACGCCCTATTCTGAATCATCTCAGTGTCTACCTTTTTTCCGGCTCTTTTCCATCACGCTAGACCAGGGGTCGGCAAACTTCTGAGATGGAAGAGCAGCCAGGGGTCGGCAAACTGTGGCTGGCAAGCCACATGTGGCTCTTTGGGTATATACATGTGGCTCTGAAGTACAATTGAAAATGAAAATAAAACTATCATAGTTTCATTTATCAAAAATTTTAAAGGATATTATTCACATAATGGTGATTTCATTTGCTTTATGGCTCTCGAATAATTTTTAAATTGTTGTGAGGGACAGGATTGGCTGTTCCAGGGGTCGGCAAACTTTTGAGATGGAACGTACCCAAAGAGCCGCAGGTGGCTCGCAAGCCACAGTTTGCCGACCCCTGCTCTAGACTGTCATAAGCACTGCTGACCTCTGCATGGTCCTGGAATCTGCTTCCCTTTTTCTCCGCTCCCCGAGACAATCACATCTTTCAATCATCAAAGACTAACTTCCAACCAACTAAGACTGGGGTGGAGGAGATAGAGCCGGGGAGTAGGTGAGAAGTGAGCATAACTGGGATAGGAGTTGGAGCTGGAAGTCAGGCCAGGCCAGGTCCATTTGAAAGCACTAGTGTGATCAGCGCCCCAGGCAATGACCAGGCAAGAGGGCAGCCCTCAGACCCAAAGCAAAGCTTCTCCTTTGAGTCAGCAGTGCAGGGGAGCCCCTCATCTGCCTCTCCAAGTGACGCCCTTTTGCAGGACCAGGGGCTCCTGGATCTGCTCAAGAGGCAGGCTTTGTTGGTTTAGTTCCGCTACAAGGCTTCTGTTCCTGCCTGGGCTGCTACAGCCTACAGATTCCTGGTACCCATCTGATTAAACAACTTAATTAAAATGCAATAAAAGGAAAGTGGGCCAGATGTGCCCGGGGAGAGGACGCAGGCGTCTGAATCCACTGCCTGCCTTCTGAGCCCTGTGCTCTTTCCATCCCGCCTCAAGGCCACTGGGCAGGCAGTGGCCATGGAGCCCTGAACTCTTGTGCTGGATACAAAAGACCCTTAAACGTTATCTGCTCCATGAGCTTGTTCATACTGTTGATAAGGAAACAGAGGTCTCGTAAGGACAACTGAGCCAACCAAAGCTGTTCACTGAGATGTTCACAGAAGCACACTATTATCTCTAAGACTTCAGGACTGTTCATCTAGGGCTTCTCTTACTACACCATAAGGGAGAAAAAATTGTTTGAAAACACTAAGACCCTTGTTCTTGGGGAGCACTCTCTTCTGAGGCCCCAAACTTTTTTCTTTTTCTAACAGTTTTATGGAAATGGTCTCGAGATTGATCCATATTATATGAGTACTTCATTCCTTTTTACGACCAAATAATATTCCATCATATGACGATCCCACATTTTCCATCAGTTGATGGACATTTGGGTTGTTTCTCCCTGTTAGCTATTTTAAATAGCGCTACTATCAGTATTTGTGCACAAGTTTTTGTGTGGACAGATGTTTTCACTTCTCTTGGGTATGTCCCCAGGAGTGAAACAAACCTGTTTGTTCTGGCATCTTGTTAAGAATATCAACAACACCAGTGGAGCTCCTAAAGCATTACTATACACACTGACTCAGAGAATAGTGAGGCTAGGAAGCTGGATGGAGAAAGAGAGACACAGAGAGTTTAATTATTTTGGCCCTGGTCACACAGCCACAGGATAGGGCCATAGAGGAGGAAATCATAGCTAGCACTCATGACAATTATCCAATGAACATTTTATAATTTTAGGGGAAAAAAAGCCCTGGGACATTTTAAAAAATCACACACACATATTCACATGTACCATCACTTTAATTATATGGATCAGTTTTTAACTTGATCCAGTCCTTTTTTTGTCTGTTATCTGCCTCGTGTCTTCTAGTTACCCATGGAGACCATCGCACCCCTTCTCAGTAGAGCTGAATTCTCCTCCTACTTCCCAAATGTTTCACCTCATTCTTACCAAGTGGAATGGTGGTACTGCAGGAGGTTTTGGAAACTCCGTGAGTGGAGGGAGGCTATTTAAAGGACTTCTCTTTTGTTACAGCTGCAGTTCTCAGAGCTGTGTGTAGGAAGCATGAAGCCACACTGTTCTCTCTTACTGTCTGGGCGCTCCAGCCTGCTCTGCATCTGTCACCAGATGTGCACATGGCTAAGAGACTGAAGTTGCCCTGGACACCAAGCCAGTTGAACTATATGAAATTGCCAATCATGTATTCATTTCTGATCTACAGAAATGGCAATCCTGTGCGGTTCAATCTGCCGGTCTCTAGTGTTCCCGCTGTGTTCCTCCCACAGGCCCAGATCTTGTGCTCTGGAAGCCTTTCTGCCCCTCCAGCCCAGGTGGTCTTTTTCTCCCAACCCTCACAGTGGCCATTCTCCAGCTGCTCAATCTCGCGCCCAAGGGTGTGAGAGGGAGTAGTGGGAGAACACTGAACTGGGAATCAGAAGACCTCTCGACTTCCTGCCCATCTCCCCACTGGTTGCCCTTGCTCCAACTTCCCCTCCAATCCATGCCTCCTAAAAGCACAGATCTGCTCTAGTCATCCTTTTCTTCAAATCTTACAATGACTCCCCATCACCTAGTACATATAAAGTACAAACTCTGCAGCCTGGCCAGGAGACAAAACCTCAGCTCCTACTGCTGGCTTTTTTTCTCTGGCCATGTCTAATTGCTTGCAGCTCCCTGCAGACACCTGTGCTCTCCCACCTCTATACCTTGGCACCTGCTCCTCTTCCACCTGGAAGAATTTGTGCACCTCCTTCACTCAGCTACCTATGACGTATCCTTCAAGACCACTCCCAGGAGCCTTCCCTGAGCTTCAGGGCTGTGTTAGGAGCCCTTTCTCTCTGTTCCCATTTCTCTGTGCTTCCGTCTCTCCTGGCACTTATCATCTGTATTTTAATCATCTTTCTGTGTGTCTGTCCCACTCTGTCTGCATCTCTAGGCAGTGGGCTCCTGACAATTCTACCTAATTCATACTTCAGTCTCTGTTGTCAGGATAGTAAGAGTCAGCAAGCTCTTGTTTAACAGAACTGAGCAGTGGCAACTGTGACTCAGTTTACCTATTTTCTGGAGATGGTCCAGAAGTTTCAGCCTTGCCCCTTGGCCTTCTCTAAGCTTCATTGGCCTCTCAGGAGCAGAAGGGGGTTGGTTTTAAGGTATATTTCAATTCTTATGGTCTAAGGAACTGTGATGTGAATCCTTACCCTCCTGGGCCCCTCAAAGGGATCCCCTATGGGTCCAAGGAAACTGATGGGACACGATTGCTTAAATGAAAAGGTTCCAAGGAATTTTGAGTAAGATTCTTTTGTTGTTTAGTTTAAATTCAGTTAGTGTTTGCAGAGCACCTACTAAGCACATGCCAGTGTTAGGCATAAAAGTGGCGGGACGTAAAGCTGTCCATACCAGCTTCCCTGAATTCTTTTGAGTGCTTCCTTCCCAGCCAGTCTGGGAAAGCCTGCCTATTCCTGAACCTTTCGCTGCTCCCTCCCGCCAGGATCTGCCCATCAGATGCATCGGGCGAGGACAGTCCATGTCCCCAAATTTGTCGCTGCCAGCAAGCTTCCACCTCAGAGCCCACAGAGTTTGACCGAGCGGGCCTCGGCCCGGCGCCCTCTGGCGGCCACGCACGGAAGCTAAGGCCAGGCGGGGCGCAGGCGAGGGGAAGGGGGAGGGATAGGGGAGGAGGAGGCGCAGGCAGGGGAGGAGAGGAAAAAGTTGCGCTGGGAAGTTTGGAAAGTTGGGAAGTGGCTGCTGCGAGCTTCGCCTCCCTCCGCGCGTGTGTGAGGGAGCGAGCGAGGGAGCCGGAGAGGAGCGAGCGAGCG